TTTTTAATTCGAAATAAAAGTATGATTTTGACTTTTAACTTCCTTCACTCTGAGCATTACAGTATTGGCCTCAGATTCTTATTTGGAAATTTATCTATAAATCCACCAACTATTTTTTCTTTTTCATTTGTTTTGCAAAGAACTGTGCACTTTAGTTGAGCTATAAAGCAAGTTCTAATCATTAAGTATCAAGTGCTTTTACCGAAAATATCTTAATTAGCTTTGTCTAGAGACACTTTTGATTACAAGGTACAGAAAACCAACCAAACTAGGCTCATACTGACAGTATTACTGGACCATGTATGTGTGAAGTCTAGACATAAATTTACTTTGGGGCACATTTGGTCCCAAGCATTCTAATCGTGTCACCAAGACCCATCTCTCTTCATGGCTTACCTTTGTTCCCCTCGTCTGGCAGGAAGGCTGTGTGAAGCTCCAGATTTGTATCCTCACATGTCCCTGTTGAACACAAAAGAATATTGGGAATAACTATCAGTTAAGCACAAGTATGGGAAATAACCACCTGAACTGGTTTTGTTTAGCTTGGGTCCAGGCTCATTCATGATCCTGTTACGACCAGTGCTCTGTGGGCCAGGCTGGGTCACACACCCACTCCTGGAGCCCCATCCAAGCCACACGGAAAAATAAGAGAGGTGTGATTCAAAGAATATTCAAGGAATTGTTAGCAGAAGAAGGGATAGGCTGAAACAACCAGTGTTCAAAATAGCATTGGATTCATCAACTCATTAGCTTGACAGGAAAAAGAGGAAACTTCTTTGAGGGAAAACAAGGATCTACTGTAGTGATTAAACTGGAGAAAAACAAATATCTTACTCCAAAATAGGCTCCGCCCTGCACAAACAGATGCTCAGTTTTTAAAAAGAACACGAAAATTAATAGAGTCGTTTCAACTTTACAGTGACATAGATAATGGTGCCCTCCCTGATTTCTGTTGAACTTAATTTCAGTGCTTATAAGGTAGTTTTAAACTTCACAGTTGAAGAAAGCTACTTAGCTAAGATGTTAAGCTACTTAGCTAATCTTTTTTTTTTTTTAATGAAACCAAAAATCTCTAGTTATTCTGCTCTTCCTCCCTACCACAGCAACACAGTCATGGATATTAGGAGTCAGGATATTTCAGAGTATTTGGATTCTTGTCACAGCCCTTGAATTACCTGTCTAGCTTAGCCAGACAATATAATTTTATCATAAGTCAAATAAGAGATTCTTGTCTAGGATCCTGTTCTCCCAGCTCTCTGATCTTGCTTATCTTCCATATCTGCATTTTCAGCTTTCATTTCATATTAATGGATATCTTGTATAGCATACGGGGGGTGGGTGCGGGGAGAAGACTAATTACGTTAGAATCTGGTCACTAGAAGTGAAGAAAAGCCTCAACAAAAATAATGAGAAAGGGAAATGCAGGAAATGTGTGAGGGAAAATTATTAGACTCTCAGTGGCTGGGAGGGTAGACTGGGAAGGCACAGAGGACGACAAAGCTGGGGAAAAAATGGGACCACGATGTGTGCAGGGCTTTGAATGCTGAGAAATCTGGAATTGTCACCTATGTAGAACAAAGCTGTATTTTAGGAAGTTGGAATATAAAATGGATAGAGGGAAACAACATCAGGACAGTATTGTAACAGTAGTTGTCAGAGCCTGAGGGAGAACCGTGGAGAAAGGATGACAGAGATAAATTTCACATGTAGAATCAAAAACCCCTGGTGACTTTTTGGACTGAGGGAGAAAGAGAATGAAGTTGAAGGTGATTTCAGGTCTTTGAACCCAGTTATCAGGGAGGATGGGAGTAGCACAGACAGAATTAGGGACACAGGAGAAGAAGCCAGTTTAGAGGGTCGACGGTAAGCTTCGTTTGTGGAATGTTCAATTTCAAGTATTTGTAGACCACCTTCAATTCTTCCAAAATGCCTACCCCGTGTTTCTGTAATTGTGCTTCAGATACTATAATTTAAGTCTTTAACCTTCATCCTCTGCTGACTCCTCACTGATACTCGATCAACAATTTTTCACTCTTCCTTATTCACATGCCTTTCCTGCTCTCCTTATCTCTGCCCCTCTCTATCAGCTAAAATTGTCTCATATTTTGCAGAGGAGAAAAGGTTACTAAACTCAAATTTCTTCAAATTCCACCCTTTACCTCCAAAGTTATTAGCCCCTTAGTCACGTTCCTTCTCAGTGCCGACCCTCTCATCTGTCCTTTCTGTTCCGCCTCTTGTTGCCTCTTTGCATATCTTGCTCATTTGTTTTTCTAAAGGAGTTTTTAGTCTGTCCCTTTCCGTTGGCTGGAACTTTCCCTAACACTGTGCCCATGAACAGAATCCCAAGACAAACTAGTCTTCCACTCCTCCAGAGTTGGGAGTAGGCAGCTGATAGAAGAGTTCTCTCAACCCTCCCTCAGCCTTAAAGCCCATCCCGCATCTCACATGGAGATTCTCACTCAGTTCAACTGGACAATGAATTCCTTGATCCTCATGTCCTTTCATTACTACTTGACAGTGTAATGCCTGAAACAGCAGGTGATGATTTACAAAGATTCACTGAACTGACTTCTCAACCGCATCAATTCCCATGAAAAGTACTATTCTGAAGGTTACTGGTGACCTACCTACCAACCAAATATCATGACTTTTTTTCTGTCCTTATCATACCTGACTTCTGAAATATTTGACACCTTGGTTTTAAGTGTCTATGAATTTCTTTCCATTTTAATGTTTATTTTTTCCATATTTGTACTAACATATTCCTTTTTATTATTTACCCTTAGGTGTGTGACAGAAAGGTTGAAAGACTTGAGCCAAATAGGGCTCAAAAAGAGCCCAGTTTAGGCATTTCCTAGTCAAGCTGTGCCCATTCCTTGCTTCTTAAAAGTCTAACTTGCTTGACTTCTTGTAAGATTTTTTCCTCCAGTCACATTATCCACTCTTCCTTAATTGCTACTGTTGTTTAACGCCAGTCATGGGCTTTTTTCACTTTAACATTTCCAACTATCACTAAATCTAACCAAACCCCAGGTTAACTATTGTGCACAACACAAAATGGAAATGTATTCAATTGAACCTTTATCTCTAGTCTTGATCTAATGAGTTCTAGACCTGTATTCCTAAATTTCTGTCAATCAGAACTATCTCAATGTGTACTAGTGCCTTCAAATTCAACGTCAGACATTCCCCAAGCTTCCCGTTCCACAATTCCTTATATATAAATTACTAGCGACAGCATCCACCTAGCAATTACCGTAACTTCTCCCTTCCCGTGTCCACCACACTCAGTTTGTCACCAAGCCCTAGAGTACATTTATGAAAAGTCTGTCAAATTCTCTTGCTCCTACTTACGTTAATCAGCATTGCCTAGAACACTTTTTATCATCTCTTGCCTAGACTTCTTGCAGCGGTCTCCTAGCTTGCATTCACGTTCCATAATGCCTCTAGAGTTATCTTACTAAAACACAAATTTGAACATGTGTCTTTAGAACCTGACTCCCTATTTCCTACAACATAAACTCAGTCTGACCACAGCCTCATCATTTACCACACCCCCTCTAAGTCCCACCCTGCACAGCTGTGTAATAGCACATACCATTTCCGTAACAAACTATGTACTTCCACATTTTTCTTCTTTAAAAATGCTGGTCCTTCTCTTTGTCTTTCTGATGGACCCTTACTCTAAGTCCCAGCTACGCAGCTCAAATATATCCTCTGCACCCACAGAGTACGTCTACCTACATTGTTATATTTTGTTTCTCACGCTAGCCTGGCAGATACTGCTGTAACAAGAGTGTAGGTTCGGGAAAGTGCTAGGGGTAGAAGCCCAAATGCTCCCTTTCTTTTAATGAGGACATCAAAGACTATGAGGTAGAAACAGTGGGTATAAGCCAGAATTAGAGAGTTTGACGTGGCAAAAATGGAAAGAAATTGAACAATTAGATGCGATAACAGAGTTTTAAAAATATTTTAAAATTTTATTATATTTAACTGTATTTGAAGAGGGAGACATTAGAGTATAAAAGAAGCTTCCTTCCACATTAATATAGCCCGCCCCACACCTTCAACCAACTCGTCTGTAGATGGCTACAGTTTGCGATTCCTGAACTACAGTTCCTCTGCTGTCCCCTCAGTAAACTCAATTTCTAGTCAAAAAAAAAAAAAAAGTATGAAAGGAGCAAGGACTTAGGAGAACGGGATGGTCAGGAGGGGCTAGCTTTGGAAAAGCAAAGGCTTTTTTTTTTTCCCTACCTGAGATGAATGGATGAAATTTTAAATCTCTAAATAATGGAGTGCTGAGTTGAAGATGATGGCATAGCAAGAACTGGATGGCTTTAATGTATGACAGAAGTGTAAATTTCCAACTCAGGATGGTACAGCCACCAATGAGGGCCAGCTCACCACAGTCGCTTGTTAAAAATATAGGAATTTTGTGGGCTAATCTTTGGTAGCTTGAAATCTGCCATATAGGAATATGTACACCATGTAAGTTGGCAAATGCTACCAATTGGAACTTTTCCCCCGAGTTCGCTGGCCCACCACTAGAATGCTTTGGAGTCTCCATGAAGGCTGAGCCAAAACATTCCCAGTTAGTGAAAGCTAGGTTGAACTTGGAGAACATGGTTATATTTTGTACCTTGTCAACCCTATTTTGTGTTTCTTGCCAGGAAATCTCTACCATAAAACAGAAGAGTTGGCTAGAGGGTGATCAGAGAGATCAAACAACGGAGGCTTTGGGATAATGAATTTCAGACATTGGAGATAGAAAGAAAATGCTGAAGACGGCGTAGGGGAGGGGCACAGGCAACTTACGGGGAAATAGCGGACCTAGTAAACATGGAGGAATTGTGATGGAATAAGATTCTGGACAGAATATAGAATATTTCTTGTTCAACAGCAAAGGAACAAGAAAGGTGTGTCAGTCGGGAAAGCTGTTTAGATGTCTGTATAAAAACTCCTAGGATGTCACCATACTCACAAATGGAAATGGTGGGTATACTGTAAAGGAAAGGAAAGGCAGTGAAATGTCAGTTCCAAAGCTCTAAAAAGTGGTTAAATCATATCTTGATGTTGCTTAAGAATGATGGTAGGCAATAGAGGCAGAAGAACAGGAGCCAGGAGCTGAAGTTACAAGGAGATGAAATTACAGGGAGATAAGTTGGTGATTTGGAGAAGGCAGGTACACTTGTTTCAAATAATATGAAGCAGAAGACGGATGGCAGATCATGAACTACAAGGGACCCAAGAGAGCAAAGCCGTATTCATTCCCCACATCGAATAAATGTTTTCTGCCATAGGGATCCCGATAGTCATAGAAGTAACTGTCATCACTGGTGATACTGGGCATGCTGGTAACGGCCGTCTGCAGGGCTGAACTACCCATAGATGGACAGAGGCTGAGACCCACGTGGTCTGTGCTTAAGGCAAAGCAGGAACACCAAACAGTGAGGAAAGAGGTCTCAAATGGCTTAATATTAAAATCAGAGGAAAACCATACCTTTGTTGTACTCCCATCTCCTTACTTTATGATTTCATCTTATTTTTATGTTTAATATGTAGAAGGTGTTGGGGTGGAGGGAGCACTTAGGTGCAGGCACTATAATCTTTTCACTCTTAAGGTCCTGTTTTGGTCATGGCTGTCTTACTCCAGGAAGACAGTAATGTATTGGCTTTTTTCAGAATAAGGCGAAAATGTCTTTTCTGGATGTGCAAAAGTTGAAAGATGTAAGTGAGAGAGCTCATGTGAAAAAAGTGTATTTGGACCTAACTTCTCTATTAATTTCCACACTTAACGGTTTATTTTTAAATGTATGTTTTCCAGTTTTCATTTCTTAAATTATCATAACAAAGTTGTATAAATACCTTCTAATCTCTAGAAAAGAGCTCAGTTAAGAGCTTGGACTTAAAGAGAAAGAGGGAATTTGTTACTCATAGCTGTTCTCCACAAATTAGTAGTCTTCGGAGACGTATTAGCAAAATCTTTTGCATTTATTATGTTGTTTTGTAGAAGCTAATTAGAAAAGAAAATGAGGAAAGGTGAGGTCTGTATATCAAGAGTTGACCCCTACTGCATGAATATAGTAGCCTGAAACCTGTCTTTAAACAAAAAATGATGTACCCAGAATGCACATAAATTAGAACTTGCATCTGTAAAGGCTACTAATTTGAAATATTCTGGTTTCTGGTTTTTAGCTGCACAAATATATATTTTCCTAATTACAGAATAAGTGTCATTAGTATCAAGCAGTGAGTACAACTGCCTTGAAAGCAATATAACTTGAAGCTGTAATTCTGTCTAAATTCCTCTTGACTGAAATTCACTTTTTTGTAAATTCAAGATAATACTGCATTTTATTCAGTTTTTTACTACTCAGATATAATTCCCTTTATCTTTTACTATCCTTTGTGATAAATTTTAAAGCTTGATCAGTTAGAAAATAGATTCACTTTAAGTCAATCTCCATACCTGCCACGTGAATCAAAATACATACATATGTTTTGTCCTGTTCATGTTCCAGATACCATACTCCTCAGCATCTCCTGGGAATTATGTAGTAAGTACATTTGGGTTTGTTTGCTCATAAAAACTGATGTTACATTTTATTTGGGCAATGAAATAGTTGTCCAGATGTTAAGAAGAGCCCCTGTGTATTGGCCAAGAAGTGAACATCTGATTTGTACTGAGTTGTTTCATCTGCCAACCCCAGTACATATGCTGATGTTCATTAGTGAAACAGTTATCAATCTGGCCAAAATTGCCCTCAGTACCGTGTTTTACTTCAGCATATGTTTCTGTAAACCAGTAAGATACACTCTGTCCAATCATGAAGAAAGCTATCCTCAGTTACACAATGATATGCTTGAATTTGCAGTTTTCCAGAACAATCCATACCCACCCCCTGAGTACCCCACCCGCCGTACAGAAAGTCTAAGAAGACATTAAACTTTCTCCCAATCCTGAAGAGATTCAGATAGCAAAATAATGACTGGTAATTGGAAGGATTTTTTTAGTTTTCACTCTTAGAAATCGAGAGCACTTACTCTTTTTCTTATCATTTAGTACATGTTAAAATTTCCCAATTATTCATATAGACATGAAGTCAAATTATCAGGTTTTACATGACCTCTTAAACCTACAAATAACCTTTTAACCATCATAACATCATAATCCTTGCTGCATCTTAAGGCCATCATAGATGACTTGTTATAATACTTCAGGGGAAATGCCTAGCAGAGAGGCAAGGATGAAACGGTAAAAAGGAAAACCGTTCCTAAGGAAGTTTTCAGAGCTGGTGACTAACTAGAGCAGGAAAAAGGAGTACTTAGGGAGATCAATGAGCGTTTCACCCTTCATGGAAATAATGTCCCATGAACACAGTGAAAAGCACATGGTGTTTTAGACCTGTGAACTTAGCGTTCAGTGTCCCCTTAAGCTATCCAAACTAAGAAAGACTAATTTTTTTCACATTCTCTATGAAACAGAAATAAAAGTAAGGAAGTTTGGATAAACCTAATTTTTCTTGAAGTCAATTAAGAATAAGCCCAGTATAGTTTTATGAAATTAGACTTACTTGAAAGTAAATTTAAGTTGTCTAATAAATAGCAATAAATATATTACTTGAAATAATTAGTGGCCTATGTCTCTATACTGAGAGTGAAGTGAAAATTTAGCTACTTAATAGTTAATCTGATTACTGTACATCTGACAATTCTAAAACCCATTGCCTGAATTACCATTTCGGTTGTGTGAATTCACTTTAGAATCACCTAATATCCATTTCAGATTGATGGCGTAGCTACAGCCTTAGGAACCCCTCAGCATTAGTCAACATTACCTCTCATTTCTAACTGATGTGATAGCTCAAGTTATAATGCCCCAGAAGTGTTGCAGTTGAAACTGATAGAAGAGCATCAATGTATCTTTTTAAATATATGAGTATCTTTTGGTTTTCAGCTGCCTATAAAAGCCAGGGATACAAAATATAAGAAGATTACAGTAAACTAAATCAAGGATACACATGAAATATTTCTATTTTATGGATTTGTAAAGGCCCCATTAAATGGTTTCTCCTTAACCTCATTATACCAGATGTGATTAAGTCATGGATAATAAATCAGTGTTACAGCCTCATTGTCTTTGGAAACGTGTCAAAACAGTCTCAGCATATTTAAGCTAAACTATATTTTGCATAACATTGAAATGATTGTGCATTCAAAGAAAATAAATTATGGAGAAAATATATTTCCTCTATTATTTTCAAACTGGATTATTATAAAGTCTAACTTTTCTTTTGTTTTTCCTTATATTGTTTAATGAAATGCCTGACTTTTACTGAAATTTTTTATAATTATTTAGGGTCCTCCAGGAGGTGGAGGGCCACCAGGAACACCCATCATGCCTAGTCCAGCAGGTATTGTAATCAAACTAGCCACGTGGGCATTTGACTCTTAGAATAAAAATCACAAAATACAGAGATTCTTAGGAAATGTAGTAGTATTCATTACCTCATTGATGGCTTCACAAGTCGAGTAGAGGTAGCAAGTAGGAAGAAATAGTGTTCTTAAGTAGCTTATTGTCCAATTACTTTAAGCATTTAGGAAATTCCTGTTGTGTGGGTGACAGAATTAATTAGAATTAAATGGTGTTGATCTGTATGAATTTCCCAGTAGCTTATCTGACTGAAAGTCTGCTTGAGACTGTGAAAAAGATCCAGATCTCACAATTTAGAAAATTTCTGCATAAGTAACACATGAAATACATGGATCCGTTAGGTTTAATACAGCAAAGTAGACCTACCATAGTAGGATGTGGATGTGCTTACAATTACAATATCACTTAGCCTGCATGTCTAAGGTATTCATTAGTTAGCTAATAAACCCACTATGTAGTGTGGAAAGTTTTTTAATCTTTTAAAGTACCTCAGTATTCCTGTAATCTCTTAATATAATTATTTTAAGTATCATTCTCTTTTCTTTAAAACTTTAGTACAAACTATTAAATGTATGTGTCCTGAGGACCATAACTGGGACACAGCCCTCTTAGAAAGCGCTCTGGCAACAAGTACCAAGAGCTGTGAGAAAGTTTATACCACCTGATTCTATAATCCTACTACTCAAAATGATTAGAGATACAATTGAAGAATCATGTAGGAGGATGCTCATTTGTTGTAACAGTGAAATAGATACAACCTTCATACCTAATCCAGTTTTAATGAACTTTTTAAATTAACTTTTTATGAACTATAATGTAGCCATTAAAATTATTGTCAAAGAATTTTTTTAATGACATGGAGAAATACATGTTCATGATTTGATAGAGTATGATCACAATGTTATTTTAAAATATATGTAACACTGAAATCTAGAAAGTAGGTAACAAAGAAATAGGCTAAGACTTTTATCAGTTTTCACTTCTGGCTAATGAAACTGATGGAAAATTTTTATAATTAGAAATTATTATTATGTTGCACTGTTTATTATGTTGCACTAGTTTGCTGACATCTAGATATACAGAAGCTTGAAATTAAGTATCAATCATACCAATAAATAATTATTTTTAAGTTTGGAATCTTTAATTTAGAAAAAGCATAAATTTGATATTTAATTCAAAATTTTACTTTGTTTTACTAACTCTTTGGAATACATCATAAACATTTGATGGATCTCTGTCTTCAGAGCATCTTAAAAGAAGTGAAACAGAATTCATTGTGTATAGAATTATATGGACTGAACATCTTGCCAAAATTTGCATTCTTATCTGATGAAATTAAGGCTTAATTTATGAAGGTAGAACATGATTAATAAATACTTCACTACAATACTCAAAGAAATTTTTGGAGTAACACTAAACTTTGCAGATAAAACATAATCTGATCACTTTCTTTCAAGCCAGAAATTGCCACCAGTATATTGTCCTTGCTTTTTTTGCATATTCTTATGTACTCATCCCTTATCAGTCAGTCCTCTAATATGAAGTCAATACCCCCCCCCGCAAAAAAATTAGGTGCCAGTTCTACTTCATTGTCAAGTGTTTCTGTATATGAAAAGCCCTACATTTTCTAGAAAATACCAATCTATTCACTTAGTGTTTTTTTAAAGATGAAATAATAAGTTTAATTGGTCTTAAAAAATATAAATTTCTCTTTCTGAATGTTTTAAAATACACAACTCACCTTCCTTTCAAATTAATTACTAAAATTAGTAAGTAAAATTAGTAAGGCCAATAAAAGGTGAAAACCCATTCGAAGGTTTCCTATGCTTAAAAAGCAACCCAAGCTTTTCTGAAAGATAAGTTTTCAGGAGAGTTTATTCCATTAGTTGAATCTAAGTAAGCAGATATTTATTGTCTATAGTACACAACATGAGTAAGACATGGTCCCTTTCCTCCTCTCAAGGAACTTATAACCTAGTTGGAAGCAGGAGAGAAGAATAAGACAAGTAAAATATTAACTATAATGCAAAGCAGAATTCAGTGGTGGGGAAGCACTCCCACACACCTGTGAGTGTCAGGGGACAATGAGACTTAATGGAAGATGTGGTACTGGCAATGGACTTTGAATAGTGAGTATAATTTCAGTAAATGGAGACTGGATAGAGAAGATGCTCAGAGGAAGAAAGAACAGAAACATGGAGATGGAAAAGTCTGACCCTATGCAAGAAGGAACAAGTGGCCTGAGTTGACAGGAGTATAGTGTACACAGGATGTAGAAATAGTTATGGCCACAAAAGTAAGTTAGGCGCTTACTTAGTATAAACACATAGGGGTCAGCCAGAGGTGGGCATTTCAACTTTTCAACAGCATGATGTATTAATCTAGAAGTAAAAAATAATATTTAGGTTTATGGATCACTTTACAAACAATGGATAAATGGCATCTAAACTACTCTAAAGTAATAAATTTATTAATGTCTAGTAACTCAAAATAGGAGGAAAAGCAATTACCCTTTTCCCACTCTATGGTTACTGCCATGAGAAAGCAAGTGATTTTTACCTTCTGCCTTGAATCAGTACAAAACACATGAAAAATACCTTTTTCAAAATAGAGAGTCCTACTTTAATATATTTAAGAAAACTGTATAACTGGAAAAATAGGAAAACATTTTATAATTGATAGCTTCTAAATGGAAAATATTAAGCCTTTCACTCTAGGCCATATGTTATAAAATACATATACTCAAAGACTTAATTAGAATTAGGTAATAGACATGAAATGTAAATTTTTAAAAATTCTATAAAATGTTGCATATATTTATATAGGTATACACTAGTTATTTTTATTATAATAAATCAAGAATAAAATGAGTGCTAAAAATTTTATTAAAAGTTGTACTAGTGGGACACAACATTGTAAAATGACTCTAACTCAATAAAAATAATAATAATAAAAAAAAGTTGTACTACTGGAAGCTGGTTTTTGCTTCAAGCAAGAGAATATTTCATTCCACTTGTATAGTCTTGTTCCAGTCACTTTCTGTGGGAATTAAGCCAGGATATTCCACCAGGACATAATATTCCACTAAGGAAATAAATAACTGAAAAGCTACTTAATCAGAATTTTGAGAGATTTTTATTATATGGATACATATCAGTTGCTTAGAGAAGTCAAAAGGTATCCGTGTTTTTTAAAAATTTACTGCAATCTTTTAGATTTTTAAAGTAATACTCCTTTTGACCTAGATTATTCAAGTGATTACTCATAATATTATACACACACATACACACACACACACACACTAGGTAGGTACTCCTAATTTATTACCTTAGAATAATAATTTCTGGGTCAGAAAATGATTTACAGATACTTGGTTTCTGATCATTAGGCATGACTGTTTCAAGTGCTGCAGCTGTTAACATGCATAAGTGTCCAGATCATCTTTGATTATTACTTTGTGATGACTTGGGTGAAGATTATAAAGAAAGATACTAATTAAGTAATATTTTGTTTCAGATTCCACCAACTCTGGAGACAACATGTATACTTTAATGAATGCAGTACCTCCTGGACCTAACAGGCCTAATGTAAATATGAATCTTCTTTAAAATTTTTAGAATGCATTTGAAGACTTAAACTCTAAATACATTCCTTTTCCTCGATACTGTTTAAGCTTTATATTTTATTATCCAGAATCCTATTGGATATCAAAAGAATCAAATTCTTTATATGTTCTGGGCTGAAAAAAACATAACATATAACATATATAACAAAAGATTTCATATCAGCATAATTTAAATGTAAAACTGAACCTAATCAATTATAAAATGTTGGTCTATGGCCTTTATCTCAAATACCTAATAATTAATACTGTTTGAAAATGGCAGGTAATGTATAATCATCTATGTTAACCTCATTTTCAGCATCACTAATTTCTTCATATGGTTGGGGGTTTTTTTCCCTGATAAACTTGAAATTAAATTAGGAAGTTGAATATGCTCACTTTTAACTTTTGAAATCTGGGGTTTAAATATAGAACTAAAGCAGATATACAGAAAGAATTTGGGTATTATTAATAAAGCATATGGTCATGATTTTTCCACAAAAACGGACAGGAAAATTGTATTTACTTATGATAAAAACCCACATGTTAACAAAAATATTTCTAACAAATACAGTTAATTGACAGGTATATATATATATATATATATATATATATATATAATATAGTATATATATATATATATATATATATATATATATGAATATACAGTAGCTTAAATTAAGGAAAAATCAGATGTATGACAAATTTCCGTAAGTATAACAAAATCTAGAAAGGAAATGAGTATTTTAATTGAGCTTCCTAGCAGTCAAGACAACAAAGGGAAACCATAAATTGTCCAGTGTGGTGTGGTACTTGAAATATGGCAAGTCCAAATTGACATGTGCTGCAAGTCTGAAATACACCCTGGATTTTGAGGATTTAATGTAGAAAACAAGTAAAATATCTCATTAAACTTTTGACTATTTTGAAATGATTAATTTTGATATGTACGGTAAATAGCTTAGTAACTTCACTTGCTTCTTTTTACCTTTTAAACATGGCTGCTAGTAAATTTAAATTTTCTTGTGTAGTTCACACTTGCGGCTTGCGTATTTCTGTTAAGCAGCACTGCCTCCAGTTATCAGTATTCTCTTTATGTCATCAAATAAATTCTTTTTCCAGAAAAAGAAACAATTTCCTGTCAGTAATGTCTAAAAGGTGTTTTCACAGAGATTTTAAAGAACACTGTGAATACGATAATGAGCAACGTTCATTTTAGAAATGCAGCATATAGAAGAGCTCCTCATACTGCAATTTCATATCTTAAAACTTGATATTTGAAAGGGAGGGAGGAAGGGAGGAAACCAAGAGCATATGGTACTGGAGACATTTCTACAGGCAGCTAAACTGATATCGTCCAGTGTGCTCCATTCTGGTTCTCTAACTTGTTACAAAGATAAGAGATTCAAGAAAAGTAGAAGATGAACATATCACTTTTTCAAATGTCATTCATTTCCGCCAGAGGTAGTGAAAGCAAATGCCTGCTAAGGGCTAGGACTGCAGTGTTATGTGCTTCCAGTATGATACCTACAGTCTTAAAGTTGTTTAGAGCACAGTGGGGCGGATAAAAGGACCAGACCAAGGAGGTTCACGGGCTACTGGCCTCATGGGCACCACTGGTTTCTTACCTAGATCTAAATTATGCTTGTGACAGTAACCGTTCAGAGTTAATTTCTTTGTCCTCTCATTCAACACATACATATTCCAAGTTATTTACTGAAAATGAAAACAATTCATCTATGTACTTTTAGGCAACAGAATTGGCGTTATTCTGGGAAAATGTATAAGCACGTGGTTTGTGTGGTCACAGTGATGGAAAACCATCTGATTACACACAGTCAGTGCCATACAGGTTGTCTGCTGAGGGCAGTTTCCCGCCCCCCAAAGTCTGTATGATTAGTAACCACCACCCCATCTACACACGTAAATACACGTACACACACTGCATTCCGTATTCTGCACCAAACAATGTGGAAGAAATGTTCTGGGCATGGGGAATTTTAAAAGCAAGTGTTTTTGGTAGGCTATCTTAACTGGAAACATAAGGTAATTCTAGAGAACTTGTTTTCAAAGTAGGGTCCGAGTCTCCTTAGAAGTATTCCAGGGGAATTGAGGGAAAGACTGAGGCGGCAGGACTCTCCACCACCAGCTCTGCCACAGCGCATCTGTTCACGCCTGTGTTGTAGCAGGCTTCTGATGTAAGGTTTCAATGGAAAATAAAATACCGCTAGTTTAAAAAAGGTTAACAGCTATTGAACTGTCATTGAACTCACGTAGTTGAGACTGCCAAGAAGACCTGGCTATTTTCAGCTATCCCCAAGGAGCTAATGTATTTAACCTGCAAGATGAAATTATTTATCATGTCCACTTTAACAAAGATAGATTGTCCGCTAAGAAAAATGTTAATGTTGGCATGTAATATTCAATTATTCTTATTAATAAACCAATCCCTTTAGAGGCTTCTTCTTGTCTGTAATAACAACATTTGTCAACAGCATGGAAGAGAATGCTTATCATCTCATTTGCACTGGAATGTATGTGCTTTCTAGGTAAGGATATCTGAAGAAGAAAAATTTGGATCTGAATGAGGATTAGCCTGAACATAGAGAAATGGAATGAGGGAGGTAGAGAATCTAGAGGGCTGGAAAAAAAGCTAGAAAAATAATCTCCAGACTTGGAAATGAAGATAAGTTGTGGAAGTGTCTTACAATGTTAAAGATAGATGTTATGACATTAAGATAAATAACTGTTTTCAATGTGATCATAGTCATTTTCTCCATTTTTTAAATAGTTTCCAATGGGCCCTGGGTCTGATGGTCCCATGGGTGGATTAGGAGGAATGGAGTCACATCACATGAATGGCTCTTTAGGTAAGGATATTAAATTTGATGCTCAGAAATGAATTCAAAACAAAATCTTAATTCTACATAGTGGACATTATGATGGTTTGCAAAGTTCTTCCGTGTGGAGGAACTCATTTTGAAATGCTTCAGCTTTTACCTGAGACTGATGGTTTAATCCACAGTATATTGGCTCTGATGGCTGGAGATCATTTGAAAAATCAGATACGTGAGAATTGTTCTAACCTAGCTCATATTCACAGGCATTTACTTTAATCTGTCAAAATCTGAGTGTTCTGTGATAAAAGGGTGCACTGCTGCTTTGGGCACCGGGAGGGCTGTGGTATCCTCCCAACAGGCTTCTTATCTCCAAAGATCTACACACACTGTCCCCGAGGAGCTTCAACTCCTACAAGAATTTCTTAATTTTGTTTTTGTGTATTAATGTTTGTCTCTTTAAAAATAAAATTGGTAATCATAATCTGAATGATTCTCTTGAGAGAACACTGTCCACATTGTCAGTGTTTGTAATAAAGTAGTGTGGATAAAGGTTGAAATCATAATTCATAAATGATGGTTTTTGCTTTTTTTTTTACCAAATGGAGCCAAATATCTGTAAGGTGAACAAAAAGTCTTACAATAGTGAGAAACAGAGACAAGTGGTACAAAATTGACCCAGTCACACACATGCAGTATATGGAAGCAGGCCAAATGCAAAACACAAAGGAAAAAAAAAGACTTTTTTTATGTTTGTATATGTTTATCATCATATCATACTGTATCATAAACAGTGACGGTGGACGTTTGTGATCATTTTTTTTCTTTTGAAAAGGAACTGTCTTTTACTTAAGTTGGAGAAACTATGCCCATGAGTAACTCAGGTTGTACACAGACTTCATAACCCCACCCTAGGTCAGGAAATGCCAGCCTCTGATGCTTTGAAAAGCTATGTAACTTCAGTAATCAAGAAATTCTTTGTAGCACTTTGGAAGACCTTTTATGCTTTTAAGGATCCATGCGTATTTTGCCTAGATTTCAACATGTTTATTTGAACTGTCCAATTATGGTAGCTACTAGTCATGTCTGACTAATGTTTAATGAAATTAAATGTAAAATTCAGTTCCTCAGTTGCACTCATATGTAACATCAAGTGCACAGTCACATGAGCTAATGGTGACCAGAACAGACACTGCAAAGAAACACTTCCATCATTGCAAAACGTTCTATTGGACAGCACTGTTCCAGAATTTTACTTTCCAGCTTACTGCAGAATAACTCACTTTTCAGTCTTTTAATTTGTAAGCTCATTCACAAAAACGACATTTGGTCATAGAAGATTCTCAGATATATTACTCACTAAAATAGAATTTGCAGAAGAGTTTCACATACATTTGTCATCTCTAATGAGTATTTCTGCATGTGTTTATATATACATAATCACATATGTACATTCAGCTTTATTATGCCTGTTTATAAATTAATCATGTTAATAAGCCCTCACTTTATTTGTGACTGCTGACGAAATGTAAGATTAAAATAATATTTTATGCCAGGAAAATTGTTTAAATGTAAAAAGTTTTTTAAAAAAGCTAAAATTGTGGCAAGGATCTGATCTTTGTTCTTTGTTATGATTCCATTTCTTTAGAGATTAGTACTGATTCTCCATTCTCCTAAGAACTAAAATAAAGTTATAACACTATATTTTGAAGACATTTTTGCTTTTAATGGATTGCCATGAATATTGATTGCTACCAAATTTTTAATATTCAGAATACTTTGATTTTGATTATAGTAAAATATGTTTCAGAATATTGTCAGCTACTGTTGCAAATATCCATTTTATATTTTATCATATTTACTAGAAGCATCATTTCAGAAAATACAGAGATCTCTCTCTTGCTCTTTATTTACATGTATGTATATCTGTATTTGTGTTAGTATACACATTTTTAAATTTTGTATTGAGTAGGGTATATATGTCCAGTATTTCACTTTCAGGAATTTATGATAATAGTTTCTTATTCTGCCATTACCCAAAAAAGTAGGTGACTGGGAACTAGAGGTACAATTCTTCCTTGCATTTGCCGTCAGCTGACACTCACTATACAGTTTAAGAGGAAAGTAATTTTCTGAGATTCAAAAATCCAGGAGGTAAACACTGGAAAATACATGCAATGTACTGCACTATTTGCATATATTTATATTAAAGGAATACGTAATTTACAAATGGAATCTTTACCTAATAAAGGCTTTCTTTCCCTATTTTGTTTCAGGCTCAGGAGATATGGACAGTATTTCCAAGGTCAGTACTGTGTATTCTATGTTGTTTTTCAATCTTTATTTTATTCCACATGGAAGTCTTAAGATGATTAGAGTAACATTATGGATTTTGTTCTCAAACAAGAGTTTGAAAGTAGAAGGCCAGATATAATTAAGTGGAAGTTAAAAATATTAATGGATATAATCTATGGGAAAGGGTTAAATGAGTCTTAAGAATGTTCCAAAGCATGCTAAGATTCATTTACAGGACGTGCTATATACATGATTAGTAGAAACCCAAGTAAATAATAATCCGTTTAATCACGTTGTAACATTACACATTTGTAAAGCAAACTGACATAGTTTAGGTAATCTGTTGAAAATGTAAAGTATAGAGCAACATTAAAAGAGGTAAATTTGAAAAAAGTAGTTGTTCTGTTAGAAGGGCATTGCGTTTATATATCCTGTTTGTCTTTCAAACCTTCATTAGGTAATGCTGATGTCGTCAATCACTATTATAGTTCCACAAAAAAGAGAAAAAAGTAATTAGAGGAAAATTATATTAATAGAAATAGGAAAGTGAGCCTTCCAATAGCACACATCTACTTTTTTCTGCCTTCAATATTTTAGTATCTAAATTTAATCCTTTGCTAAGATGCCTTATATTTTTTGAAGAATACCTAAATACTTTTTAGGTCATGATGAATTTAAAATAGTTCTCTGTGGATCACATATATATTTAGAATGGCTGATAAGAACTAATTTTTAACTATCATTAGAATGACTTAGAAGTTTGCTTTATGTCAATAAATACAGAAATTCATTAAAGGAAGACCATTCTTAATACTACTTTGAATTTATATTCATGTATAATGAAGTAAAAATTCCTGAAGCCAAGGAGAATAAAATAAAATTGAGCCACAGAAAATCTTAAATAAGACTTAATGCTAAAAAAGCAAAAATGAAAGTGCAAGAGAGAGAATTGAATTGGCATTCTGGCATGATATCTCCATCACCTGGTTGCTTGGCCTCACAAGTTCTACATGTACTTTGTATGTCTGTGTTTAGGAACAATCAGTATCTCTTTTTTTCCTAAAAGTAGATAAATATTTATAAGGGACACTATCTTACCTCTGTGAGAAATAGTATTGGGTTAAGCCTTCAAAAGGTTGTTTTCAGCGTTAGATTCATAGTATAATTCCATTTGAGCTGTCTCTCTGGAAAGCACCCTTACAAGTCAGATGACCATGATTGTATTGACTAGCTTAGGTATCTAAGAACTGATAATACCTGAATTGTGTTTTCTGGTCACCAGTAAAATTTCTAAAGTTATATTTGAGGAGCATATTCTGAAATCTAAAAATAATTATTTATTACACCAACATGGGAACATCCAGATTGCTTAAGGCCATCTTAACTAAAATTTCCACTCACAACCCATAACCTTGTACATTATTACATAGATGGAAACAAAATTCTTTATGAGAAAGTACTTTGTAATTTATAAAGTACTTTAAAATTTTGAAAGAGTCATAATGGCAAATTAAATACATCTTCTAATCTGCCTTCACATCAGATCTATTGCTGTTCCTTCTGTGCTTGTTTTTCAATCTGTATTCCCAGAAAGAGGATTTTCCCCCACACTGTGCCTGCTGCTGCTAACATTCCCTCCTCTAAAGATGCACTGCTTATTCTTTAAGCATTAAGTGACCACCCGTTGTGTACTTTTGTGTACCGAGTGTTGCTTTATGCACTATGGGGAAACACAAAAGACTCCTTTAAGTACAAACATAATCTTTGCCCTCAAGTGCTTTATACTTAGGCAAGAATTCCTTCATTCAGTAGACATTAATGCACCAAGGCATTATTTTGGGCTGTGAAAATCCAAAGATAAACAAGATGTGGTCTCTGCCTTCAAGAAGCTCAGTATAACTAAGGAGACCAAATAAATACAATAAGGAAAAGCTTTAACAAAGTAATGTTCAGATACATTTCAATTCATGTAAGAATTATCCCCAAGTAATAAACATGCCACTTCACAGTGTGCTGGAAGTGACTTGTTGCAGCCACCTTCAGATGGGTTCCTCGGCATCTCATTTCCGCACCACCCCTTCTCCTCGTGCATTGGCTGCAGGCTGTAACCAGGCTGCCTGGGTGATGGGACCACTGCTGACTGACTGTCGCATATCCATTACACGAGAGTCACTTTGTCTCTGATCCGCAGCTTCAAGCATATTGTACACCCCCCTCCCAATTATTTTTCCCTACCTCTTTCCACTCACAGCCTAATTTTTCTGTCTTCTACTCCAAGCTATGCAAGTTGTCACTCTATCTCCCCATCTTTTTCCTTTTCTAACACATGTCCAGCTATCCCAAGAAACTCTCTTCTCCCTTTTCTCTTATTTCCTGGATCTATTCCTTTCCATCCTATTCTTTTTCTAGTCATTCCTGTTTGTGAAGCACAAGATGATCTTGACCACTACTGCTCAGCAATTTTGTTCAAAGTCCCTCTTGGATCTCTAGCCACATCTTCCTAATTCTCCAATTAAACCTGTATTTTGTGAAGCATCAGTATTACATTTTTTTTTAAATTTCTTACTGCATTTTAAAAGTTGTTTATTAGTACTTACTTCAGTTCTTTTTCTACTTTTTTATTATAAATATGCTCTGTTTTATCCATTTTACATGTAAGGTCAATAAAGAGTACTGCATTGAGAATCAGAAAGCCTGGCTCTATTACAAGTAGTGGCAACATGTTACTCGATTTCCCTTGGGCTTAGTTTCCTTTGCCACTAAATAGAGCTGGAAGTTCATTCCCTGCCTGCTTCACGGAACTGTTGAGAATCAACTGTGAATATGCGTTAAGGGCTAGGAGGCGCTATGCGGACACTGCACACCATCCTCCTCATTACAGTATCTTCCGTGGGCAGGGCCGGAGTGTACGTTTTCAGTGGCAAAATGAACTCAAAGCTCCAAATGCAAGCTTTAAAGTTATTTTTGCTTAGTTGAGGATTATCTAGTAAAACTTAAAATGTATCTTTCTCAAAATGCAGGATTCATCTTTAATTTAGAAGTCTTTTTTCCTTAATGAAATGTGAAATTCTTTTCATCCCTTCTGCAGCTGAGAAGTCACCCATTTAATCAATGGAACAAAAATATTTTCCCTTGGAGTGATTTTAGGGGTTGAGGATGGAAAGGAGTATATGGGTTGTTTTCTTAGATGGAAATCACTTAAATAAATTCTGCACTTCACGTTAAGATAATTCACATTTCTGTTTTTGAGTTTGAAAACACCCATATCAGAGAAGGCAAAATCTGATCATGTCCTGCTTAATAAATTATCAAAGGAGTCTTTTCAACCTGAAGCTTTCTGACCTCGAGAACCTTAGTTCCAGTTAAAGATGTCACACCATTCCCAGGGGAGCTAGTCACCAACTACAGGTCCCTGCCATCTCCTCAGGTGTGCCGTCTGCGGTCTCGCTCACCTGTACCCCCTGGAGAACCAGGACTGGCAGTTTGTTCTTTGGGGAGATGGCAGAGTTTATAATTTGTTGTTGGCTGCCTGTGGGAAATCAATTCAGAGAGCTTAGAATAATACCAGTATTACTTTATTCCAGTTGTAGGGAGAGCCAGAATTTCTTCAAGTGTTCCCTTTACTAATAGCAGCCTGAAAAGTTTTGGACAATTTCTGGGGATAGATGGGAGAAGAGCCAATAAAGTTAAGAGATGATATGGAAGAATACTTGCAAGATAAAATTAGAGAACAGAGAGCTTAAGAGAATTAAATGTGTTAGCCAGAAAAAAGTGTGTGTGTCCATATATATGCTCAAAAATAACAGTCATGTGATGTCATAGCTTAAGGGAAAAACTTTCTCGGGAATGAGAATGTAATAAAATCCCTTGAAAATGGGGTCAGTATAATCCTAACTGTACTTTTTTTTCAAGCTCAAGTCTTAAATTCTTAGAGTGTAAGTAGGGGAAAAGTACACATTAACTAAAGAAAGAAATGCAACCAAATGCCTAATGTAGCTAAAAGTAACCTTTACTTGTATTCCTTTGTGCTCCCTACTCTCTAATTATGTGCTCACACAATTGGGGTGACTTTTTGACCAACCTATGCCCTTTTTGTGCATTATATTCTTGCCTTGATGATAAAATCTACTGAAGATACTGCATACAAACATAGCTACAGTTAAATGCATCACACACACAATTCATTGCCACCCACCCTCACAATCCCCTCCAGGTTGTTTTAGGTCTTCCTCAGATGCCGATACTGAGGAACCTTTAGCAGTATCTTCCTCGTGTTACCCAGTGACCGCGGACAGCACAGTTTCCTCAAGACTCCCCATTGAGCAACTTTTGTTTTTATGACAGTTTTTCTAGATTACTTCAGATTGAAAAAAAAAAAACAACTATCCTATCATTTCAAGATTTTCAAATATGCCCAGTGAGCTAGGTAGGAACAGGTTTCAGAGATCTAATATTAGCTCAGTCTTATATGTTGAATGTTTCGTTTTAATAATCTTCTCAGTGTTCTCGTATATACCACCACTCCCCCCACCCTCTGCCAAAACCAGAGTTTAATGCTGGGCCACCATGCTGTTAAGACTGCATGGAAAACAGAAATAGCAATGAAGTGTTTTATAAGCAGTTCGATATTAATGTCATGTTCCTTTCAAACGTTTAAGTGTTTTTACATGAGCACTTTGTCAGGAATCAGATTTGAAGTTAGCTAAACTTCCGAAATTGTAAATCAGGAAATGATCTGTGGCAAAAGTGCGGCTGAGTCTGGGAGCATCCCAGCTTAACCAGAGACACGCAGCTGCCCGCCGGGCACTTCATGCACCTCCGGCTGGGGGTGACTGCTACCCAAGAATGGAGGGGGCCCACTTCATATGTTTGTTTGAATATGATCCACGATGCAGCTGCCAAGTGCATCCTCAAATACCGCTACTATGTATGCTAAATGATTTTTTATTCCCAGATTACCAGCTTCTCCATTATGTATGAAATGACAAATCTGCCTTCACCAAAAAGGTTTCTAGATTTGGGGTAAATCTTACAATATTTTTATAAATTTACCCTTTTTTGAACTAAGTCAGAATTATCATTCCTGCTTTCAAAACACAGTTGATTAATACCTATTAATAAGTTATAGCTTAGCTATAGCTTAGTTAATTGCACTTAGTTAAATTTTACTTCATTTTTTTTCCCCAGGAAATCAAATTATCCATGTTCATTTCAAAGCACAGTTACTTTTCTCTATACTTGGGAAGCTAAAATTTTTAGAGAAAAAATTTATCCAAAAAGAGAATCCTCTTTATGCCATTAAACTGTGGTTCCCTGGCCCTTGGGGCTCACTGGCAAATGCAGCTCCTATGGACTTCAGAGGGCTCCTGTTCTCAGATCCTCCCTGTGGGGTGCACAGCAGGATGAGACACCAGCTGTATTCCTACCAGCTCATCTACCTGTCTCTGCTTTACAGTTTAACCGTATTTTTTAAAAAGCGCACATTCTCCTGGGAATAACCCATTCATGAAATTTTCATTTTTATGACATAACTTGTTTTAACTCAAAATCCTCAGAGCAATTTTCTTTTTTTAAAAATCTAAACACATATTCCAAAACAGAATATTGAATGGCAATGGCTTAGGAGAAAACCTAAAACCTTTCTTCCATTTGAAATAGCAAGAGTTTTTAACCTTGAAGTTTATTTTTTACAAGTAAGAGTCCCTCAGGCACAGTTGCAATCCCATGTGATCGTGCTCTGTAAGTCACTGCCGTTGTCTTCCCTGTTGACCTGGGGTATCAGACCACCTCGCACGGCTGAAGTCACTCAGTCATGAGATTAGCCAATGTAAACAGAATATGAAGCAATATACTGCTAACTTCGTGTTTGATTAGATTGCTAGTATTAGCTATTTTCTCTTAAAGAATTTCCAATAAATCTACTCTTCAACAAATGAGAGGAAGAGATTCTAAAGCAGCTCACCTTTGAGCATTCTTTTCCTCTAAAAGTATATATTGAATTCTCAAGTCCTAAAGTATTTCTCTTGTTCTTAACTGTAGTTGTTAACTGTCTTTCTTTTATACTTATGTTTCATCTAAAAATAATGGTTAAAGGAGTGTTACTATGTAAACCTTACATAGAATTAAAGGGAAGTATTTATTAAAACAGTGGCCCTTCGAACTTGGATTAGTAGAATTGCCCGGGGAAGTTACTGTTCCATCAAGTCTGGCTGGGGTGAGCTCTCTTCATCATGTCCCTGCTGGGACTGTTTCTTAAACTCTCTCGAGTTCCAGGAGCTCTATACACGAAGGTGGGAAATTGAATAAATATTGATTCTGAGACTAAGGCTAAGAGTTATGGTGAGTTATTTGGGGTTTTCCATTTTTTAATTTTCATTTGGGAAAGCATTAGGACTTGTCAAGGTGCAAAGAATGACCTAGGATAGACGGTAGAAAGTCTGAGACTGGAAGTATGAGTGCACTCTGTCCTCAGAGATACTGCCGTAGATGCCACGTTTGAAACGGTGCAGTGCAAGAGGGAAATGAAAACCTTCAAAATGTCTTCTTTTCTAAATCTCGTTTACAGAATTCTCCCAATAATATGAGCCTGAGTAATCAGCCGGGCACTCCAAGGGATGATGGCGAAATGGGGGGAAATTTCTTAAATCCTTTTCAGAGTGAGAGTGTGAGTATGCCCTTGACTACATTATTGTATCCAGGTTTCATTTCTGAAGCTCTTCTTTAGAATAAATGCTTAAAGCCATTATTACAACTGTTCATCTAGAGTTCAATAGTTTGATCTTTTAAAAGTTAGAAAATTAAGTGGAATTTCTTTGTAAAGGTTAAAAAATAAACTTTCTTTCTTACTCCTACTGTTATATACATGGTTACAAAAACTATAATACTAATTTTCCTACAGAGAAGACCCGCTGTAAAGGCACATCCTAGAAACAGGTTTCATATTTGATAGTTTTTGTAAGTTTTCACTAAAATTTCTTGGATCACTGCAAAACCGGGTCTATGCTCAGTGCTGTCCTTAAGGCTCTGAAAACTGTCTCTAAGATGTCTTTACTTCATGCACTAGACTTTCCTGCCTGCTCTGTTAATGTGTCATTTGCATTTAGCCTGAACAGGATACCCACGTCGTTTTTCGAGTGAGGTTATAGTGTTAAGCAAAGGCAGGTATCATTTCCTGTCTCCACAGAAGTAGACAAGAGCAAAAAGAGAAGGGATAAAAATGTATTCATTCATTTAACAGTTACTGAGCACTTACCATGAGCCAAAGCAACATGCTAAGCAGTGGAGACCAAAAGGACACTATGGTATCTTTTCTTAAGGACTTGTTGCATCATACAATACTTTCTGAACTAATATTTCACATTAGAAGCATCTATAGGATTTTTTTTTAATGCAGTTTCCCAGAACCCTCCCTAGACCGAGTGAATCAGAATTTCCAGGAGTGGGGCTGGGCATACGCAAATGTGAAAACGCTTTGTCAGTGATGCTGATGCAGATTCTCTGCTCAGAACGACTGGATTGGAGTAAAGGATTTCAAAACCCAAACTAGTTTCACATCGAGAGGGTCAGCGCCTCCAATGCATGCATGGCCATCATTAAAATTCATTATGGGGACTTTACCCAACTAAACACAGAATCAGAAGAGAACACTACCTTCATTTTGTCCTAACTATTTACCAGAGATGATACTGTGAGAACTTGAAGCAGTGGCTAGCGCATACCTACTCTGCACAGAATGGCTGCTTCCCCAAGTGGAACCCAACACAGAATCTTCCAATCTGTGGATTTTTTTTCACTTCTTGATATTGACCGAGCACCTCTGCATGGGATAAAACTTCCCCTGCTTTTAGACTTGACTTCTCTTGAAACTAAAAATACAATTATGCTGATCTTTAGTTTGAGTGTTTTATTTGCAGGACATTTATGATTATAGCAAGGACAAAGAAGGTATACATAAAAATTTGTATTTTAAAAAAAATCAAAAGGGTAGCCTGTCAGTGATGTGGAAATAGAAAAATGTGAGAAACTATGTAGTTGGTTATAATGCTTAGGACTATGGGATTTTGTAAAGCCTGTTCTTTTGCAAGTTTGCTTTAAGACTATAGACAAATTAGTTAATTTTAATTAATTATTTAATGTTCACTTTATCTAATTAGAGATATTAATTTCATTTTATGCTAATTCTTCCAGCAATGAAATGGTATAATTCAGTGAGCTATATGATAATGAATTCAGTCCAATTCAACATTTATTGAGCCTGCTATATGCAGAGCACTAGGTTAAGGATAAAGTATTCTGAAATAAACCCAACACATCCCTAACTTCTAAGAATGCAATCTGATAGGAAGAACATGTTTACACAACTAATTAAACCATATGTCAGATTAATAAGTACTATGATGGATATAAACGAGGTGTTTTAAGAGCACCAAGGAAATTAGTAGTTTTGTATTAGAGAAGAAAACTTTTTTTTTCCAAAGGTTCCAAGTGACTAACTTTAGGGGCAGGGACAAGAAGGACTCTCCACTCTTCCCAGACCTGTCACTGGGGACAGCAACTTGTTTGTCAGAAGTGGGGAGCTGCCTCAGATGGGGCATCAGAAAGTTCTTCGTGGGGATCAGAGGATCAAATAGAACAGGACTTCAAAAACTCCTTTGTTCAGAATAAACACCAGCTTCACCCCCTAGCCCCAGGTGGACTAGGCACCCACAAAATAGCAGATCCCTTTGTGAATATGTACGTAGAAAAGAGCTGCTGGAGCAGGGCTCCTCCCATCCCTTACTCCAGGCCCAGAGGCCCAACTTCGCTCCCCTTGAAGCCAGGAGGCAGGTACAAGGCCTGACGACTGGGCAGAGTTAGCAGAAAACAAAAGCTCCCTCCTGTCACCCCCCCTCCCCCCCTGTCCACACTAGAAAAGTCCCCAGAGGAAGAATACTTGGATGGTGGTTGAAAAACTGCACCACCACCTGGAGGGTCATGCAGCCTTGGAAGCGGGTCCGCA